TCCACCATTCAATTGAATTATCGTTTGTTGTCCCTGCTGTTGGTAGGTGCAAAATATATAACGTGATTAATGTGATGTCCATATGTTCTTCAAACATGGACTTGCTACACAATTGAAAATACATAGATATTGAAACAGGAATATTGAAACAGAAAACTATGAGTAAGATGTTGATCCTCGATTTCTTCAGGATCCCATTAACAAAACCCACCTTAGTTTGATAATTTGATTGAGAGCCCGTTTCTTTTGAGGATATGTTTAAAAATGCGACGCAATTTGTGATGAACATACATATAAGCCTCGAGGCAGCGGTGCTGTGCATACTGTGACTTTTGATTCTATTCAAGCAAACTGGATTTCTTTATTAGGGGTGTCAAACAAAGAAGTTGTTATCTACAGACCGAGCACTAAACGTCGCATCGCGCCAATCTGTATAGTAAAAATGCTAAAGATGTGATAATCATTGATGCCAGAGCACGTTAAAACCAGATACCTACTTGTTCACATTCACGGTTCGTTTTTACACTAAAGAGTTTTTGAATACTTTAAATTATTGTAGCTATACGTTTGCAATGTACATTTTTACGCTTTGTATAATCTGTCTTATACATTTTTGTAATAATAGATTAATAAATAATCAACATTAATTGAACTGTGTCTTGGAAATGTATTTGTTAAAAAATGAAATAATTAAACAATTAATTTATTTTTGTAAATAGGCCATAAACAAGCACTTTTGTTAATGATGAATTTAATAATTTGATTAAAAGAGAAAGAAAAAAAGAGTTTCGCCGTTTCACTAACGCTATTTGACTACATACCTAATAACGTTTAAATTTTACGTCAATACACATTTAGACCCTGTTCCTAATGCCTTGAAAATTGTATGTGTTTATTTCATTTGAAGGCAGTGTCACAGAACATTACAAGATCGCGAACAAATTGACAATTTCAAAATAGTTGGTATTCGAAGGATTCTGTGTACGTGACTACCAACCGTCCTAACTAAGTTTAGTCTATATTTTCAAATTGAGCGGTCAAGTCACAAGTAATTCAATAATATCGAAGGACTCCATAAGATGTTAGTACAATATCATTAGGGCATGACTACGTGTTTTTTCATTGAACCCATATCCAGAGGGACCACGGAGAAATCAATTTGTGCCGCGTCGTCGTCATGTAAAATAAAGGGATATAAAAAGAAGCTCCTACAAATGTGTTTCAGAGATAAATAATAACGATAAAGTCCCTCGATTTGACCCACGGAGAAGATTCTTTATATAACGCCTTATCTCATTGTACTCGAGCCGCGCACAAAAAAGACCACTGCTAGCCTTTGTTATTCGGGGAATCGAACTTGTACGATCAGTCCCGATGATAGGTACCTACATAAATAACAATCTCATTTAATCCTGTGTATTACCTTTTGCTTACCGAAAAGCATGCACCTCCATGGCAGGTGCTTTCCACTCACCTTGCTGAATCTTGTAGGAAATCGGGTCGGCGTTTGCCTTCTATCTTGCCTGGTGGCTACCGATGATGCGGCCAATAATGGAGAAGGCCTGACAATAAAATGAATTAAAACAGTACCTATTACTGACCTCAATCTATTGTAACATCCACAGAATGAGGAAAATCACGATTACGACAAACTTGTTGAGAGAAAATATAAAAATGATAAAGTTAATCTATAAATGCCTGCGTGATGGAAATGTTGGTGAATAAGGTTTGACAAAATTTTTATTGAATTCTTATTCAGTAGTAAGATCGTAAGACTTTAAGGATGAATTGGTAACCTGTCAATAACTACAAAACCACTCTATCGTTGGTGTTGGGTTCATGAATTGGGCACCTTTGTGGCATTAACTGATGACAGTCGCGTTAGCTCCCGACCCACTACTAGCAACAGGGTGTTATGTGCTCTCGCATTGAAAATGTTTCTGCGACTGAATTGAAATCGTGCAAACGGTATCCAAAGCTCGCAGCGTGTCCACTTCGATCACGCTCGATCTCCAGGGATAAGGTGGATTCACAACGAGCTGGATTGTTCTCTTCTTACTACGTTACTTTGAACTTGGGAGATATTCCGAATAACGTTCAAGAAGTGAGCTTGTATTTCATAGTTTTATCCTTTTCTCTTATCGTTTTTCAAAGGCCGACTGACAAATTACATTTTTGTTCGGATGTCCCGGAATCTGAACATAAATCTCATAAATCTTCAAATGCATTTTTCATGCTTGGTCGAGCTCGTAAAACGATGACCTAAGTAAGACTTCAGTCTCTATAAATTTCATTACTTTATTGATCTTTATGTAAGCATGTAGTGGTCAGTACTTGTATTTTAATTTATTCTAAAACACTCAATTCGCTTATAAAACTAGTCGTAAAAGTTCAACAGTGCATGCATCTATATCTGTTTTAAGAGTTCGCTATAAAACTAGGTTTAATATTCTTGTAGCGTTCGTTGCAGTATGAGGAATAGGGAATATTTAATTAGTAAAGTTTACGATATAAGTATGCATGGTAACACTTTGCCCGTATAATGTGAATCCGCACTCTGGCCACAGGCTTCCCGTCCAATATTTAAAATACTTGTTTATTAGCAAAACATTTTGTCGATCAATACTCTCCTATACTATAAACATAATGACTTCGAAAACTTGATGCAGAACAACAATAAATCTAAGACAATTTGTAAACAAGCTTCACAAAACAATTCAGTAACAACTTCAGTAAATGTGATTTGGTTTTTTCTGTACATAGGTACGATTTTTATCAAAGACCATTTCGCGGAAATCTATATGGAAAATAGTTTCTGAAGAATTATTGGCGCGAATTTTCCACACAAGTGCATACTTACTTAGTTGAGACAGGGTTCACTTTTGATATAGGTATGTCTCGAAAGTGGAACAAAATTCAAAGCAAATGTGAACAGTAGTTGAACGAGTTTAAGCTATTGTCAGTGTCGTTGTATCCTTTGTTGGCGCGTCTGATAGTAAGACGAGTAATGGTCTGTTCTCTTGTCCCTCACATAAGCTCCTACATTTTTCGGAAGGTTTCCGGAAAGCTCTTATACATTCTGATAAATATATTTTTAAGCCTCGATGATGGTGGAACCCTCAGCTAATAAATCCTGTAGTAATTTCTGGATGAAGTATGCGGTTCGAAGCCATTCAGATGCTTTATGCGTCTGTGCGCCGCCCTGCTACGGCGGATGGTTGTTTAATTAAGCCAACTCACGTCACCGACCAAATAAAGCGAAATTAGATTTGTTCAGCAATTGTCAATAAAATAAATCTACGTGTATAATTACGTATCCTGTTCCCGTTATCCATAAAAGTGACGACAATGGTCGTGGCCCGGGCAACGATTTCCTGACTTTATGGGCGCTGGGCAGTGAGTTAGTACGTGACAGTGAGGCGCGTCGAGCGCCCTGTGTGGCGACGTGACGGCTGAGCACGGAAAAATACGCAGCCCACACGTACCTGCACAATGTGATAATTTACCCTAAAATTTAAACAAACTACTCTTTTGCCAGCTTTCATGAAGCTGTTCAAATTTTAGTTGCTCGTCGATCATCATATTTTAGGTTGGCCATAATAGATAGTTTTGTTAGGTCGCTTTTAGCCGAACCGTGAAGTTTTATGTTTTTCAGTGGTCATATGAAAATGTTGAACAATAAAATGCATGATATAGATTTTTATTTCAAAAACACCAGTTCTTTTGCAAAGCGATTTACGTAAACACGGCATAATTCTGATCAAAAAAAAAAATCTGATTAAAAAAACAATCAAAGCTAAACTTGGTGAAATTCTTATTGTGCCAGATACGTAGTTATGAGAAGTTCGCGGCAAAATAGTTAATAAAAATATTATAATAACAAGACCTGTGGGTATTCAGTAATGAGAAAACTTTTCTGCTGGAATTAATAAATTAGAGTAAGTTTTTAGGGTTCTAGTGGCCAATGTTGATGAACCACTGTTCTAATATGAATTTCATGAGCTAAGTAAGTTGTTTATAGAAGAAACTGTGACCTAATTGACCTCGGCCACAGATTATGAACTAGTATGTACAACTTTAGTTTCAAGTACTTTGCGAAGCTTCTTAAACTCGGTGACTTAATCATAATAAAAACATTTATATAATGTATTAACTTCTGAAATGACTTACAAACCGTCGACACTTGATAACGGATTACATGAGGCGTTAGGCGTCTTTAATCGTGTTATTATGCCTTTAGCGTATTAGGTTTTAATATTTCAAGATATTCTTTACTAGTTTGACTTTTTTATCATATTTATTCGTTCTTGACTGCAATCCCGCCTAAGCGGTGATGCAATCATTGATGCTAAGGCGCACTTAAAGGGCGTCACTTTATTAAGAGCCTTTTCACTTTAGCCTTAGACAACTAAATCAGAACTGGACAATATTTTATAACCATTTTAAAATATACCTAGATAATACCGACCAGTTGCTCTATAGAAAAATACCTTTGAAAGTTGCATTCATGAAAGTCACCTCAATAGTTGTTGGAGCTACAAATTAAATTAAATTTACAATACACTGTAAAACAGCTGTTAATAAAACATGTTGTTAGCGTTGAAGCTCTTAAAGACAAACTGTTTATTCATTAAAATGGTCGTCTTAAGAGTAAGTGTCGCACGTTACCTGAACTTTAAACACAAATGTTATTTTGTGGTCTCATGAATTGGATTAAAAGAAAAACATCTTTTACGTTTGATGAAGGCAAACGATACACTTCTGAAATATCTAATTAAATTGACTAAGTTGCACCTATTTGTGATACATCACTTAACTATTAAATTGAAATTGATGAATACGTTTATCCATCTAATTACGTTGTTTCCATGAATCCATTTAAATATCGAATTTGGTGCCTTTATAACGTGCATTAAAAATCAAATGTATCAACCATGAAATAAAACAGAATGAACAAACTACGGGCCAGTGTTTGTATAAATGCTCTTTGCTATTGTACAATGTTTACGACTCTACGAAATGCCAGGCAGACACGGTGCAAAGAAACAGAAGGTCAAGGACATAGCGTTTACTACGGAGCGTAAGTTTCGGAAACCTTACCTCCAACAAAGCTTACTATAACTACCTTAGGTTTATACTATGGCACAACTTTTATATCTTTTTGCTAAACAGGTTTGTTTCAATAAATGTAGCGAATCTTTCTTACACAATAACACGCGGTTTCGTAGATCCTGAATGGTAATGAGCATCGTGCGAGTCTTAAGATAACGGCCCAGGATCGCCCATTCGGCATCGTGTGACGTATCCTGTTTGCGTCGTCTGAATCCTGCGCAGCATATTAAACAGGTTACATTCCCTTGTCTGCTTTCCATTCAAGATTAGCATAAAATAACTTAAGTTATAGGGACAGCATTATGGATTTAATAAGAGTTATGAAAGAATGTTGCTATATAGAGCGGAGGGTGATATTGAATTTGAATTTCAAAAAACGACATTACTCCCCTAATAATAATAAGCCTGTTACGAAATTCAAAGCCGGGCTTCAGTAACCCGTTAAACCCTTGCGTCTGTGGAGGATTTATTCAATTGTTCAACAACATAGTGGCAATGTCTTGCTCTTTTGAATACCTGATCCATATTCACGAGACGTCCCCGGACGGGGCCGGCTACGGCCAGTCCTGCTCACAAATTGTATGTTATTGCGCTGCTACTATTCGCTTGCTCCGTTTATTTGTTTAAATGAAGCAATTACTAGGTAATTAGTTGTTAGATTTCATCTTGCGTCAACAGTGGTTAGCAAGAAAGTGCATTAACATATAAAACGGGATGTTTCACTTACTTATACGATGGAAATATTTACGTTGGAAATAACTAAAGCAGATGTTCATTCTACAATCGAATTGACTAGCGGTCTTGCGTTAGCCGGTATACGAGTAGATATGAAATGTTATGTGCCGGGAATGTACCACACAAGTTGTTTGTTCCTACTGTTTCTATACAGTTGATAAAACAACAACTGAGCTTCACTTTACAACTTCGTTTAACAACGAAATAACAAAGTTTTGCTACCTCCGGCGTATCATGCGGAGAATAATAGATTTTTATTGTAGCCCCAATCACCTGCTTATCGTGCAAAGAAAAGTTTTCTCTTTTTCGAAATAAATGTAACACGCAATTAGTAATATAATCTGGCATCATAGTTATTCCATACTATGCACCTTTAGCAAATATGGCGATCTTTATTTTTGAAATCTAATTTCATGTTTGGGTTCATATAATATGTATACGATGTACATTTCATTTCTTAGAAAATAACCAAGCCAGTGTTCATCCCTATAACATGAAAAACCCACCATTTCATCAAAAAATAGTAAGTAGTGTGAAAAAAATCGGTAATGGCGTGCGGAAAAAATATCATCCTAAATCTTGGCGGAATCTATCTTCCTTGTCTAAAGTCACCATGAACCCCTTTTAGCTCAGATCATATCTTTATAAAGTAAATTAAAATTAAAATAAGCTTTGCGCTCGTGATAGAACTAACAAAAGAAATTCTTTTTTTTTCATTAAGGTGCGAATAAATATTTCGGAATTCACGTAATGGATGCCGCTTAGTCAGCGCGTCAAAAAGCCTTTTGTTATCTGGCCGTTATTTTTCAGGGGTTTGGATTCCGCGGACAAAGCGAAGCACATATTTCACAAGACTGTAATCTCGTTCCTAGTACACAGAACTCGAGCATTTTTACACTTAAGTACTGTTAATGGGCGGATTAACAATATTTTTACCTGCTACGACCTTAACATAGTTTTATTACCGATAAATTATGGAGAGTAATTAAGGGCATTCCAAGGTTCTGATCGCTCAACGAGCACCCTCGGACGGAAACCATAAGTTATCGCAGTTAACTGATCTCTATGTTAACTTAGTTAATCTTAGATTAAGGAACTTACCTCTATTGGGTGACAAGTAATTATTGTAAAATATTTAGTAAGTAGCTTACTGACATTATTGTCGCAAATCTTAATTAATGTTGTGTGTTTAGGGAGCCTTAACTTAACGGTGCCGAAACCTATCAACTAGGTACTTCAAGTAGTTACCATTAGGTAAATCTGTTTCTGAATTAAATGCACTTTCTAAGTACTACCAATGACAAACTGTGAAGGAAAATGTCGTGAGAAAACTTAGACTTTGTAGTCTCCAATCTGGCTCAAGCCATTGAGGTGATTAATGCTCAAACCTTATATGTTTGAGAAGTGGCTTTTACTTAGCAATGGGTACTTTAATACTGATGAGGTGATGTATGATGTTACTGAAGTATATCAATTGATTGAGTACTGTATGCGTAGCGTATTACACATACGTAGTTATAAATTAGTTCCTACTAAACAGTCCCATTAGGGGATCCTAATCGTTGCACTGGGGAAACAGGAAATTAACATTGGATAATCAAACGGCGCCAATGTGATTTTAATGACTATGTCTGGAAATACCTTTGTTTAATATCAAGAAGCGTTACTCATAAGAACGTTTTATTATAGTATGTTGGGATATTATTTAAACGCCTGCGCGAAGCTGTCCGACCTTGTTGATATAATGTAATTTTTTTTAAAAATATTATTTATTTGTTACAGAAATCCAAGATGCCAACTACTTTTCCTGCTATGGTCAACGAGCGCAGTGATGATGAGTTGCAGCGGCGCAGAGATCACGTGTCCGGAGGAGTGCACCTGCCGCAGTACGTTCGACCCGGAGGCTGGCGCGGCTGTGCGCGTCTCCTGTACGCGCGGTCACATGCGCCTCATTCCTGTCGACTACATCGATAGAAATGCACACATCATCATAATAGCTGCCCCACCCGACAAACCAAACGAGCTTACAATCGGCCCTATTTTCACACAACCTACGCCATTCGTCAACCTCAGAGAACTCCACATCGTTAATTCTAATGTCCCGTCCATAGGACAATATTCCTTTTGGGGGCTACAAAACCTGAGGTTGATAAACCTCACACATAATAATCTCACCAGTATCGGAGCCGACAACTTCCGAGGCCTCATAAATCTTACTGACTTGTACCTGGATCATAATAATATAGAACAAATGCCTAGTGAGACCTTCAGGCATTTAACGTCGTTGAAGACGCTGACTTTATCAAACAATGAGATTACCATTTTGGTGCCGAGGTTATTCAGAATGCTGGCCAAACTTCTCGTTTTGGACCTGAGTCATAACCCACTTGCTGAGCTGAATCCAGAAGTGTTTAAGGACATCCAACACCTACGAATCTTCAAGTGTAGAGGCTGCTTGCTGAGACGGATTAATACTCAGATTTACCATTTAGTCGCCAATTTGGAAGAATTAGATTTGGGTGACAATCAATTCAAATACCTGACTTCCGACGAGTTTATAAGTTTAAAACGGCTTAAAAAGTTAAAGTTGGACGGTAATCAGCTGTCTGTGATCGTAGACAACATGTTCGGGCGGAACCGCGAGCTACGCGTGCTGTCGCTGGCACGCAACCGGCTCGCCCTGCTGGCGCCCGCCGCGCTCGCCAACCTCACCAACCTGACGCACCTCGACATTAGTCACAACAAGATCGACCGCTTTCATTTGCAGACCTTTGCTCCGGTTGTGGACTGTTTAAAAACTATCAATTTTAGCGGAAACAATTTAGCTCTGAATGAGATAGCGATCTTACTTCAAATTTTACCAGAGATCCACGGTGTTGGACTAGCAAATCTATCTCTCCCAGAGATACCGCCAAATTTCTTTACCTATAATGAACACCTTGTAGCTCTCGATATCTCTTGGAATAAATTAACCATTTTTCCATACAAACTACTCACAAAAACAAAATTTCTGCAAAGACTGGATATATCCCACAATAAGTTGCAAACATTAGGTGAAATGGACTTGCAAAGACTGGAAGCAATTGCACAAGTTAACTTGGTCAAAAATACGTGGCACTGCGATCAGTGCTCAGCTGGCACAATGTTAGTTTACATGACTACTACTGTCCTAAACTCCACTCTACGTCAGCTTAAATGCTACTCCCCATTACGTCTGCGGGGAGTAAGCTTCGCTGAGATGTCATTCGACCGTCTTGACCCGTGTCCAACTACTCACGAAGCACAGATGAGCGTGATAGCGGGACTCATGCTGCTGTGTGTGGCCGTGCTGGCGGCTGTGGCGGGCGCGCTATGCTGCACGCGCCGTCGCGCCGCCCACTACTATACCAACGAGGAGAAGCGGCGCGAGCACGAGCACGAGCACCCGGACGAGCTGCTGGGCCATACGGAGCTGGGCAGCGTTGCCACTATCCACGCGCCGTATCACCTGGTGCCCAAAGGCAGCTAGCGCCGTGCCCGCTCGCCTACTGCGCAGGCATCCTGTCCGCATCACTGCGCTGTAGGCGCGACCCGAGTCCAGTTTGAAGTTCCGGTGCCGTTAGCCTCCATTTCTTCGCAAAGATATAAGTACCCGACTCACGGCTTCCCCGCACCACCCCCGATGTTCGACACTAACGATATCTGATACGAGTACGAGGACGATCTAGTGTAAAGCCAAAGACTTTTGGAGTGTTTTCTATTGATGTAGGTGTATCTATAATTCCTTCTAAACTTATGACTTATGTAATTTGACTAGTTAGGCCTCGTCTATGAAATTACAAAAAAATATTTTTCTACAAGTGAAAATTTTATGTGTATATATAGTGCTAATGAACTTACCTGAAACAGGTCTAGGCCATAAAGTAGATTATAATATCGTTTATAAGACTAAATCATTATTTTGATCATAGCTTTGTACATTGCTTTTTGATGAAGCTTCAGTCGAATCGCTCATACTACACGAACTTCACATTAATCTTCACTATATCAAATTAATTACTAGTTCTGATTATACTGGTTACCTACTTACCTCGGTATTTTAAACTGACTATTTGAGAGTTTAGCTATTGGCTTTAACAACTTGCAGTTAATGCTTATAGGGTTTCTATAGGGACCATGAACTGCATAATATCATTCATTTTTATTTATGATTAACATGTATTTAACTTATTTCTACGATAGATCTAGAGGTATTTTTTATGTCTGTGCTCCTTGTAACTCTGAAATACACTTCTGGATAGATATCAGACAAGAAGACAGGATAAGGAACGAAGGGGCACGACACTCTGACACACTTATTTATATCCTGCACTTTATTTATCTGTTTTTACTATTAAGTTACCTAAAACTAGAGGTTGTTTAGTACAACATTTATTTCTAAAATAAGCAGACTCTAAACGTACTCAGTTTAAAACTTAAAAGTAAAACCTTTTTGTAAAAAATCTTATGAAAAGAATAGCTTTCCCTTCATATACAAGGAAGTAAAGGTTACCTCATATGCTAATACTCGCCTTCATCTTCGTTCCGGGAATTTTTCGACCTTTTGACCTATCCACATAATACGCTTAGCGCTGGTATTCGGGGAAAGAGGAAAATCATTTAAAAATTCAGCATCTGTTTATAAAAAAACGGAAGACAAACATCTTTTTGTTCTGCCAAAGAAAAAAATGACTTTTGAATTGTGGACGACACAAAAACACAAAACAAACGCTCTTTTTGAAAAGGTTACCTTTTTGTTACAGCGGGTAAATGAGCAATTCGGCTGTAAGAGAATTATTTTATTCGGCGAAGAACATAAAAAATATACTACAATAAAACAGTTTCGAACCCAAGAGCTCCATAATTATTAAACCCTTCTTGTTACCCATGTACACTTTCTATAAATATACCTAGGATAATAAAATTATCGTAAAATTTCCGAATTCCGAAACAATCGCCTACTTTTTAGTACCCTGCTTATAAAAATCAATGCTCATTAACGTAGTTTGTAAAAATCTATGTGATGTTAAAATTTAATTGTTTATAATAACTTGTAAAATAGTGGCAATGTGCCAAAGATAATATAGAATAACAAAAAATATTTATAAATAATATAATTATTATTAAACACATTAATTTAAAAGGACGACAGGTCGACTGGTACCAGTCGGTACTCATTGTAGCCTTTATTTAATTACGAGCGACAAATTCCAGTAACATAATAAGCTTCAATTAATATAATAGAATGTTATGGATCACACGCACAAATATGTAAGTGACGTTACCAGGTCGAATAGAGCACAAGGACTCAGTGTACCTGTCCTGTCCGTTAAAAAATATTTTTATTTATTTAAAACTTATAAGATTACAATTTGGGCATAAAAAAAGGAATTTTGTCATACGTTATGTTGTAAAACTTTTTGGTTCTGTATATATTTGGTTACCAAAAATATTACCGCTGTAAATACCTGCTACACAGTGAAGTACATATACAATAATTATTAAGGTTACTAATAGCCAGGATAGAGGCCCGACACAGTTAGTGTAAATAGGCACTGCTAGCTATACATTAGGCTGCCGTGCCAACACACTATAAAAGAACAACTAATGGTTTATCTGAATAGATATATTTAAAACACCACAGTCACGAAAAAGGTTTTACAAATAAGGTTATAATTATTATTAGTATAAACACAATGTTATATTATTAAACACAATACAGTATTATTATTTAGAGGAGCACTCCGATAAGGTTTGTATTAAGTATTGATATTAGTTACTCAAAGATTATCATATTGGAATATTGGAACGCTATGTGAGTTTCTCGATAGATTGTGTAGTAGTGTATGCATAATATTCGTGTTTAGTCTTTTTAAGTGTGGCCTGTACTTTTTAGTAATTAAGCCATTTATTAAGAATATCGTTCACAGTTTGACAGGGCGACTAGTATCAGGTTTTATCTGAATATGTTTCCTCTGACAAAAAACCTAGACGTGTCAGGAGAAAATAAGAATAGGACATGATGACATGACAGACAAGATTTATAATTAATCGGCTACCAATGTATTAAAATGTATATTATATTACAAAGAGATATTCAGTTCCAATATGCTAATATTTGAATGTTCGTAATATTTAAATTTAGTTTAAGTTAATTTCCGATGTAGTGTTGTGCGTATTATATGTTTGTATATTTTAATTGGGTAGTTTTCTCCGTCTGAAATAGTTTATACTTACTTATTTATAAAACAATAAAAATATTTCAAAATAAACACACCTTCATTTATGAATCTTACAAATTTGGCGTAAAAAACTGTTGACGTCATAGATTTATTTAATATTTATCAACGTCAAATTTCGTGCAAAATGTTTAATACATAAATTGGCATTTTTGACATTTTGTGGAAAAGTACAATAGCGTCAACGTAGCTTAGCTAGTCTGAAGTTAGTCGATTAGCTGCGCAGTACACAATTTTGTTCCTAAAAGATCAATTGCGCAGACAAACGGCTAACTTTAGACTCGCCAATATACATTGGCCGTGCTGTATTGACTGACTATTAGAAAACTACCCTATTAATTAGATTTTTATGTATGTACATAGAGATGCGGATTTCTTATGATATTTCTCTCGGTGGTACCGATTGAAAATAGTAATCTAGCTTAAGGTTTTTTTTCTTAATTTTTATATAATTTTGTAGTAGTTCAGAGTTGTGTGAATGAATGTGTGGGTCATTAATATAATCACTCGATCTCTTTCGGCCAATTCGATGGCCTATAAATATTTACAGATTTCATTGCGTTCAATAGTAATTCACAAAAAGCTAACAACGAGGCTTCTAAGTTAAAATAAAATTATTAGGCTATTTTTCTAGACAATACATGACCATTGCCTTTTATTTCACCTGTTTGAATGCATTCAATTAATAAATAGAACAGAGCAGACAAAATATATAAGAAAACGAAACAAATTTTAGTAGCAATAAATCTACTGGTATGGAATATTTTTTTCTTAGGATTTCCTAGTTTTCCAGATTTCTTGATATAACGAATTTGTACCTTCTAAAACACACTCCATCCTCCGCATCCTTTTCCCGATCTAAATCATCAGTTTACATTTCCATACATTTTTGGCATATTCTCTTAACGTTGAAGTCAATGCCATTCCACTACATCTATGTGGAGTTTTGAAGCAACCTGCACTGAACTATAAATGTCCTAAAATATTCATATAAACTCATCAATTATTATATGTTGTAGATACAACAAAAAAAATAAAAAATAAAAAAAATATTGTTTTCGATGTTTACTTAGCATAAGACTTTATTTTGTTAAGGCATCGTGCACACACAAGCCGATGCCTATGTAAGAACGAACACCAATTATGAGTAAGTGTAAATAAAAACAAATATAAAAATAGAACAAAGACAATATATTTTTCAAACAATTTGAATATAATAAAGAACAATATGAAAACTATATTTTGCATTAATAAAAAAAACAAAAATCTATTTAAAAAAAGTTGCAATAGTTAGGTTACTGGTCGTTTCAACGCAATCGTGAGAAGTTTGTGAGTTCCAACTACGGAAGGGATGGATTCTTATAAAAATATGAAAATAACGCTATATTTCGATTTCAATGTTCGAATACCATAGTTATCATACCTTCATGGATGAATGGATTGCGAAAGAAATAAGATTGATTGTAAATAATATAATTAAACAATTATTTAATTCATAAATGCATGTTCATATTATAATTAATCATATTATATCCATATTCATAATCTATATTTATGTAAATTGATTTCATATTAATTATACAGATTTTGTAATATCGAAGGCAGCATGTGAGGGATACGGGTTTTATCAGGGGAAATATAATAATCATATAATTAGTAATCTGGAAGCGCAATGCGCTGGCTTTAATTAAATTCTGGTTTATTAAAGCCACGGACATGACATTCCACCATTGCACCATCAGACAATCAGCCAATTCAACAAAACCACTCAGGAGAGGATTTCTTCAATGATTCTTCAATAGTGTGAATAGGTTGCTTAAGGGTGCTCTATTGTAGGTCGCATCATCGCTTACCGATAAGCAAGATACCAGCCAAACGACAGTCACAAATAGAAAAAAACATACATAATACGATTTGCAATAAAGTAGACAAATATCAGCATATCAACGAATAATATAAAGTACTCATTAAATACACATTATCCAACTATGCATCAAAGACATCTAGTTCAATTTATTCGTACACTTGTGGTATACTTGAGGCATGTGGTACGAGCTACATAACAAGCGCACACCGTACCACAAAGTAAACTTTTTGGAAATTCAACTTACGGAGCGGTATAAAGGGGACAAACCACGAACCACGCGAGCGCAGTCGCGGGCAAGTCCTACTAATAATATATTCGGCATAGTGTTATGAACATCCGAGCTGCCAGAAACTTCTGTTATATACATACAAAATCTGTGTAGCT